TTTTTGGCCAACCCAATACTTCTTGGAGACAACAGGGCTATTTTCACCTTCTCGCTCTATGATAGCATTAACTTTACCTAGAAAGTGCCCTTCTGGTCTCTACTTAGCATTGGTCAAGTGCCAATTTTGTTCCTAAAGTTTTGCTAGGTACCCTGAGTGTACAGGTGCAAAATATGGGTCTTGCCTCCTAACAGTTTAGAATCTAACAAAAGAAATAAATCTCAGATGCTGGAACAGCTAGAGAATAGAGCCAAGGCAGTTATGAAAAAAGAAAAAAAACATGATAATACGGTAAACACAGGACATGGGCCCTCCAGAGGGATGAGAATAGATATGCATTGCTTTCTGGGAAACAGTGATCATTAGAGCCAGGAAAAGGAGAGGGTTCAGTGAAAAAATATCTCTACAGGCCAGATGGCTGACTGGCAGAACCACAGCTGGGGACACCATACTTCTTAACCTGCTGTGGCCTATTCTAGGCACACAATGCACTTTTCTCTATGGAGACATTATAAATAGTGCTTAGTTATCAACTTTGCTTACAAAGAGTGATTCAATCCAAAGAGGAGCTAAACCATAGAATACTAGAGAACATTAATAATTAACATTTTGGAGGATACCGCAATGTAAAAAGAACTTTTGCTTACCTTGCATTACTCAAGTCTGACAACTAACCACTCTATGAGAAAGTTATGATTTCCATTTTCAAAATGAGTAAATAAAATTGACAGAAATTAAACATATTTCTTAGGGCCACTACTTTAGCCCCAAATGATTACTGGTGGGTATTATCGTGTTCCATCACTAAAATCTGTGCTATATCATACTGCCTCATATTTGAGATTAGAAAAGTTATGGATTTATGTGTATATGCATGTGTGTGTGTGTGTGTTGACGCTGTGTCAGAAAAGGGATTATTCTGTGAAGCAATCCAGCATTCAGCACATTATTTCTAGAGGGAAAACATGTCAAATACTGACAACCCAACTTGGATTAAAAATTTTAGAATGTAACCCACTTATAAATTGTAAACTGATGACAGAAAATATAAATGTGGGCCTCCAGCCTAGCATTTTACTATCTTATTTTTCTGTCAAGCAGAAAGATGTGGATTTCCTTTTCAGCATAGTTTTCCAAGTACTGATTGACTAGATCCTTGGAGATCCACTAATATTGGCCTATTTTTCTCTCTAGCATTAGAATAAATAATCATGCTAGAAATGAAAGGATCCCCTTTATCAGTAACAGACTTCTGAGACTTTCCTGGAGGTCTATCAGTTAAGACTCTGCATTTCCACTTCAGGGGGCATGGTTCAAACCCTGACTGGGGAACTAGGATACCATATGGGCCATGGCTGCACCATGAGGCCAAAAAACAAAACAAAAAAATAATAATAACATGCTTCTTTGGTAAGGTGTATAATGCAGTAGTTTCCAAGGAACTTTTTGCTACATATCCCATTACAAAATGGGGCTTATATTTTACTTAGACTGTTTGGCTTTAGATGAAAATGCATTCCACACCATATTCTATTTTCTAGTTTTTCCTATCTAAGATCAAGATTTTGGCCAGAGACACTCAAGCCGTATTTGTTTCAGTGAATTTGTAAGTCTTCCAAGCTCTTGGCTGTCTATCCTAGATTATCCCATTACCTCTCTACTATGTTCCCTGACCTCCCATGCCTCAGCCAGGATACTTTTTTGGCTAAGAAATTTCACTAAGAATTAGAGATAAATGTCTAAAAGTGTTTTGAAGAAGATTGTCTATTCCCTTTTCTATGGTTCCAAAAATTTGTCAACATATGTTTAACAAAATGAGTCTGTATTTTCCTTCTTTGGGGAAGTGAATAATCGAAGACATGTGATGCTCAGTTAGTATCTTCATGAGGATTTGATCTCTGTTAGTGCCTCCACCAGTTGGCCAACATTTTAGAATGATTTAAACTATTAAATGCTGGAAAGTGGCAACCATTTCCATTTTTTCATAGAACTTTGTAAATATTGACATTAAAACATGTACACACATTTAAAAGATGATATGGACTGAAAGTTGAATAGTGACTTCGATTTCTACATCTTCTTCAGATGAAGAATTTTACCTGAAAGTATTGCCTTGTCATTTTTCTTGTAATTAGTACTTGTTATCGTAATGTAATTTCCCTCATAGCTAGCACTTGCTATTGAGAAACAAAAGTTAAATAATTTGTTCAAATATATAAAGTAATTGTTAAGGCTAGGATTAGACCCTGGGTTTCCTGATTCTTATCTTCTAGTCCTGAGCTTGATTCACAGGATTCTACTTCTTCTGATCTCTATTTCTATAAGGCTGATACCAATATCTAAACAGGAAGCTGTCATGGACAGTACAGTTGGTCTCTAACGATGTTTTGCAAGCTACCATGGCTATCATCTTTGCAACATTTTGAGCTCTTCCTGGCCCTTTCATTAAAAGGTTTAGACTTATTTGCCAGTTAACTTGTGTTATTCTATCTTTTGTTGGCAATGTGGATTTAGCACCAAGTGTGCAATTGAAAGGGCTTCCCTGGTGGCTGAGACGGTAAAGAATCCACCTGCAGTTGCAGAGACCTGGGTTTGAATGGAGCTTATCTCTTCACTGTGAATTTGTTAAGTGATGAATTATGGTATTGAGAATAATCATAGTTCTACTTATCTCCAGGCTTTTGAATTATGCTCTGGTCATGCTTGTGAGACATTTTGTGGGTTGGAAGATTATTCCTTTCTCACCTGCCTAGACATGATATATTACACAGCAACTCCAAGTAAAATTCTGACCATACAGCGCAGCCCTCAGGGGAAGTCAGAGGACTTGGGAGGCCAAGCAAGCATCCTCAGATGCAAAGCCTATCTGTCCAGACCTCTGTCCCCACCGAAAGCAAGCCTTCAGCCAGCAGAAAAGCTCAGAAAGCAGTAGATCTAGCTTGAACCAAGAGATAGAAGTCACGGTTGAGTAATATTGTGAGACAGACAGAATGTGAAAGCCTGGAAAAGAGAGACTGGAAAGTCAGACTTTCTGGGGTAAGTGGCAGCATAGTCAGCGCTCGATCCAGAGGTACTCAAGAAAATAAAGCCTGAATTTAATGAGCAAAATGATTTGGGAGAAAATACATTTCAAGAATTGCAAACACTAACTTGTTAAATTAATATCAGCTAAAGTAAACAGGGGCCTTTATTTCGAAATGAACTTGTCTTCTAACTAAATGATTAGAAATTTGAAATTCTTTGGGAGGTTAAAGACCTTGCAAAAGGGAAAACAAGGGGTCAACAAAAAGATTAGACAGAAAGTCTCATGGGAAGTTCTAAATTATTTTTTATTAAAAAAAATCTGGAGCATTAAAACAAAATCATGTTTTGGGGATAGGAATTAGACTTCTAAGAATATATCCTAAAAATTAGTCTTACATAACTGCATTAGGAACTTTAAACACAAAGATATCAATGTAAGATTTTTATGATAAAAATGAAGGTACCATAAACTTTTTAAAACATGGAAGTTGTGAGATAAATGATTTTCTTCATGGAAAATGAAGAGGTCATCATGTTCAAGCAATTTAAAATATCTTAAATTGTGCATTATGATACATCAAGTGAAAAATGTGAAAACTTTGCATTGGCAAAGTATTCACTATGTACACAAAATTTCAAAATACAGACTGACTGTCTCTTAGCAGTGCAATTATGTGACATTTATTTCTCAATTATTTTTCAAATATTCTAAGGAACATAGAAAGTGGTCTAACATCACACATAAAAACTCAAGGTCTGCATTTGGCTGTCTAGCTTGTCATTTTTACTAGCTTTATGATCTCATATACAATACCAGGCCTTGTAATTTTGGGTCTCAGTTTCCTCATCTGTGAAAATGGGATAATAATACCTAATTCATAGAGCTGTTGCAAAGATTAAATGAAATAAAGTAAAGCAATAGACAATCCTGACACATAGTTACCATTTTAATAAACTTTAACCATTTATTACTTTTTTAAAAACGGAAAATGTGCATATGACACGCACACACATACATATCTAAGTTTTAAAACTTGAAAATAAACATAGCTGCCCATTCTAAAAGTTGAGTATTGTTAAAAACCCAGTTTGATCACAGTTTATTTTGCCTACTTAGTTTACTTTGAGAAGGACATAGCAAGGAAACAGACAAAGAATAGGCTGGTTAGGTCACCAGTGCAAGTCCTGCCCAAGCAAAGCTTGCCTCTCCCCTATGGCTTCATTCAGACCTGTTCCTCGTGGGTCATGTTTATCCAGTTCTCTCCTGATTGCTCAGTGCTTTGGGATGAATTGAGATTATTAATAATGTCTTATGAACATGACATAATACACCTAGAAATATATACTTTCCTACAAACTGTTGGATGTGGCGGTGTAATGTTCAAATGCTTTTTTCCCACTCATGGAGGATTACAGACTCCATTTTCTTTACAGGCCAGCTGTAAAAAGAGAGGAAGTGTTAGAAAAATGTACTGAGCTTACTTTGTATGTATTTTCCAGTTCTCTGTGAGTTATAATAGTTCTGTATCTCAAGTGTCTGTCTTTGCTTTAAAAAGGATCAAAGGGTGGTTTGAAAGAGCCAATCCCAGACTTCCCAGTGGTTCAGTGGTTAAGCCTCCATCTGCCAATGCAGTGGACATAGTTTTGATCCCCATTCCAGGAATACCTCACATGCTGCAGAGTAACTAAACCCACAAGCTGCAACTACTGAGGCTTCACGCTGCAATTACTGAAGCCCGTGAACCCAGAGCTTCCCTATGCTCCATAACGAGAGAAACCACAGCCATGAGAAGCCGGTGCTCCACAGGAGAGTGCTGCCCCTGCTCACCGCATCTAGAGAAAGCTGGTATGCAGCAACGAAGACCCAGCATGGCCAAAAACAAACACAGTAAATAAATCATGCATAAAGAAAGCCAGTCCCTCAGAGAACAGAACTGCTAGAGAACCAAGCAGTTTATTTTTATTTTTTTTATTTATTTTTCAAACTCGTAAGAGCACTTTTTATTTGAGGCAAAGAAAAGTCTAGCTGAAAGGATTACAGTTCCAAGCAATCAAAACCCCACTGTTAGAGGCACTATTCTGATTCTGTAAATGCAATTTAGAAAAGAGTATTTGGGTTGCATGTTCCCCAGTTCTCCAGACTAGAAGGGCAAAGGAAAACTGAAAAGATTTCTACTAATCTACTGATTCTGCTCTTTGGACCCGACACCAAGCTGGCCGAGCCCTTGATGACCCACCACTGAGGGACACGGACCAAATTACGCTAAACGTAAGAGAAGTGAGGTGGGAGACGGCAGGTCACCTGGGCAAGGGCAGGGACCCGCAGCTTCAAACCTCCTTCAAAACTCCTCGTGAAAGGGGTAATCCCTGTGGCAGGCACAGCTCACCAAGGCACAGGCCCTCCAGGCCCTGTTGAAGCTGAGCAAGGTGTTCATATCCTCCTTGTCCAGTTCAAAGTCAAAGACCTGGAAGTTGTCAGCAATGCGTTCAGGCGTCACTGACTTGGGGATCACGGTCAGGTTCCTCTGCACGGGGAATCGGATCAGCACCTGGGCTGTGGTTTTATTGTGCATGTCTGCAATCGCTTTGATCCTGGGGTCCTCCAGTATGGAAGGGTCCTAGGGTTTGGCCCCGGGCCTGTCTGGAGAGCCAAGGGGACTACAGGCAGTCACCACAATGCCTTTGGAGTTGCAGTGCTGGATTAACTTCTCCTGAGTGAGGGATGGGTGGCACTCAATCTGGTTAACTGCCGGCTTGTATTTTAAGCCAGGTTTGCTTAAGATCTTCTCCACTTGGAGATGGCTGAAGTTGGAGACTCCAATAGCTTTCACCAGCCCTTCGCCCACCAGCTCTTCCATGGCTGTCCAGGTATCCACGAAATCTTTTTCACTGGGAATCACGTTGCTGTCCTCATCCAACGGGGAGAAGTCTTTCCCAGGCTTGAAGCCCGTGGGCCAGTGGATGAGGTAGAGGTCCAGGTAGTCCAGCTTCAGGCCGCTGAGCGTCTTCTGGCAGGCACCTTTCACCAGGTCCTTGTCATGATACGTGCACCACAGCTTGCTGACGATGAAGAGGTCCTCACGCTTCACCACCTTCTCCTGCAGCTTTGCCTGGAGGGCCAAACCCACCTCATTCTCATTCTGGTACATGTGGGCACAGTCAATGTGACGGTACCCAAGGTCAATCGCCACCTTCACAGCCTCTGTCACTTTGCCTGGAGGGGACTTCCAGGTGCCCAGCCCCAAGATGGGCATCTTAGCGCCGGTGTAGAGCATGATGTGGTTGGCCATGACTGCTTGAGCTCCACTGACCTGGATCAGAGAACGGTAGAACTAAGCAGTTTAATCCCACTTCTCCATTAGTGATCTCTATCCATGGGACTGTGTAGTTTAGTAGAAAAGTATAGACTGAATTTTCAATCTAGATTTACTGCAGCTAAAATTGGGAAAATTATTTAATTTCAGAATGTTGAATTTTCCATTTATAAATCAGGATCTATAAAAGATACTTCAACAAGTTATTAAAAGGATTAACAATTATTATTTGGAATAAGATATATGGTATGTAGTAGGCATCCATTGAATGATAGCTGCTACCACACAGGAACTAAACACAAGGAAGTGTGGAATTTCCATAATGATAACAAGTGCAAATAATTACTAACATTTAACACGTACCAAGAATTATTTTGAACACTGTTCCTATAACAGTCCTCTGCAGTTAGTTCTCATAACAGCCTTTGGAGTTGGATAATATTATCAATTTACCCAATATTAATTTATATAATATTAACTTTTCTCTGTTTTTAGACAGTGAGCATGAAATGCACTTTGAAGCTCCTTGCAACTCTATTAACATCTACATTATAAAGTATATCTCTTGCCCTAGGTTATGAACTCCTCAATGACAAAAACTAGATCTTTGTATTCTCAGTTTTTTCCTGATTTATAGTATTCTAAGCTTAAGCTATTTGCCTCTGAGGTTGGGAACTAAGCACTAAGTACTGTGTTCAGCATAGAAATTAATTTCATTTAAGATTTTAGGAGCTCCAAAGGAATGAATGGGCTCCCCTGATAGCTCAGTTGGTAAAGAATCCTCCTGCAATGCAGGAGACCCTGGTTTGATTCCTGGGTCAGGAAGATATGCTGGAGAAGGGAAAGGCTACCCACTCCAGTATTCTTGGCCTTCACTACCGGCTCAGCTGGTAAAGAATCCTCCTGCAATGCAGAAGACCTGGTTTCCATCCCTGGGTTGGGAAGAACTCCTGGAGAAAGGAAAGGCTACCCACTCCAGTATTCTGGCTCGGAGAAGTCCATGGACTATACAGTTGCAGAGTCAGACGTGACTAAACGACTTTCACTTTCACAAAGGAATAGACTAATTGCATCTTTGTCATTCACAATACATATTTGCACATTTAAAGATCAGAATATTACAGTAATTGTCAAGATCATTCATCAGTTTGTGTTGAGTAACAGCTCAATAGAGATGTATCCAGGGTGGAGTGCTGTATGTTGCTGCTTTTAAGATCTGTTGCCAATTCAGGGTTTTCATCACCTTCTGCTGGGCTCACCAATTCAACCACAATATAGTCCATTCATTTCATCTGGTGATACTCTTTGCTCAAGGCCTGTGTCCACATAATTAATGGAACCATGTGTGTGAAAATTTGGACCAGTCTTTGGACCATAGCAATAACCGGGGATACCAGGTCGCAATCTACAGAGTCTGGTTAGGTGGCCACAAACATGGCTGGAGTCAGATACACTGGGATTTGCTCATCAGAAAACTGTAAGCAATCAATAGAATGCACACTAGCAAAAAGTCCTTATATTGATATATAATTCTTTTCTGCATGAGGACATCAAAGAAAATGAATCCAAAAGAATGTTTACAGTCATTATAATAAATCTGTTTGAAATCTACGAATCTCCTTCAGAACAGTGTTTCATGAAATTGATTTCAGTGACTTGCCTGCAGACATTTCAGGGAAGAGTCAGGCATTAAATGACTTTTGCACAATAAATTTATTTTCTTGATTATATGAGTGCTTTTAAAATAGGACATTTACATAATTTTAAGGCAGTCATATGTAAGTGGTTTGTGGCCTAGAGTATTTCACCTCCTGAGTAATCTTTTCATCAGCTTATGGAAATCCTACGGTTGTTCAGGAATGTGTTTTTGTATTCCAATAGGGACATGGAGAAGTTTGAAAAGCTCATAATTTCCTTTAAAATTTTACTCACCAGTAAACAAGATGATACTTATCAAAAGATGCACTACCTATACTAATTGTTGCCATTTCCTTGGAAATTAGCATGCAGTTTTTTTTAAAAGAGCAATATTGATTTGTGGGACCTGTTAATGTTTTTCTCTCTTCCTGCAGAGTTGTTTCAAGAGTCTTACATAACTTTGAAATAAATGTTAGTCAAATATTGATTCCAACACTATAATAGAAATGTTGAGGAAACAGTGAGTGAAATGATACAAAATATCTATTATATTTATTTATATCTATAATATAAAATATCTATGTCATGTCAGAATGCTTCAAAATTAATGCATCACCCTCCTGAAAATTTCAAAAGAAGCTATGTAGGCAGTAGTATTGCAAATTCTAGAGCATCAGTTCCACCTTCTAAAGTGAATTCTCAGAGATTAGTGAATTAGTGAATGCTCAGAAATTAGTGCTGAACATGTGAGCAAAAGATTATGATTTATAGGACATAACTGGAGGCAAGTCAAGTTGACTGGTAAGGTTTTGAGTATATTAACAAAGACAATATCATATTGAATATAAGCACCCATCTCCTGGCAATCTAAAAATACAAGTTCAGAATGCCCTGGTGGTACAGTGGATAAGAACCCACCGGCCAATGCAGGTGACACAGGTTCGATCTTTGGTCTGGGAGGATTCCACATGATGCAGAGCAATTAGGTCCATGCGCCACAACTGCTGAAGCCCACGTACCTACAGCCTGCGCTCTGAAACAAGAGAAGCCACCCCAATGAAGAGTCAACACACTGCAATCGAGAGGAATCCCTGCTCACTGCAACTAGAGCAAAACCCACACAGCACTGAAGACCCAGCACAGCCAAAAATACAATAAATTTTAAAATATGTTAAAAAGAAAAAAAAAAGGTTTGACTATTAGTAAATAGTGATGGACAGGGAAGCCTGATGTGCTGCAATCCGTGAGGTTACAAAGTGTCAGACATGGCTGAGCAACTGAATTGAACTGATTAGTAAATAAGGAGAAGGAAAAAGGAAAATACCGCAGGAAAGTCAAAGGTAGGTTGATGACCTACTCTGGAAGGAGAGACGTGTGCATCTACTTTGTGATGAAAAGTATGGTGTAAGGTCTCAGCCAGGCAGAAGTTTAAAGAGAGGTCATATATTCTGCAAAAACTTCTTTTGGAAGAATATTCATCACTGCTTCTCAATCATGTAATAATTCTTTCCTGTTAGGTAAAGGAACAAAAGAACTTGCATGAAATCTCTGCTTGATCTATTCTATTGTTTTACTGATTACCATTTATAGGCAGCTGTAGAGCTGATAAGACATTCTCAGTCTTGACAGGTAAATAATCATAAAGAAGGGTATAATCCTTTCTTTCTTTTCAACTGAGTAGCTTAAAAATTATTATAAAATATTTTAGAGGTTAAGAATGGTGTAAAAATAATCTAGTAAATGGTTGTTCCGCTTTAAGAAATAAAAAATTATACCACAGTTGAAGTCCCTGTAGATGCTCCTTGAATGCATCTCTAGGAATTTCCTCTATTTTGAATTTGATGATGAAATGTGCAGAATCACCTGGAAGTTCTTTCTGTTGGGCAACCATGATGACCTATAAAGTCAGGAAGTAAGTGAAAGTCTTTCAGTCATGTCCAGTGCTCTGTAACCCCATGAACTATGGAGTTCATGGAATTCTCCAGGCTAGAATACTAAAGTAGGTAGCCTTTCTCATCTCCAGGGGATCTTCCCAACCCAGGGATTGAACCCAGGTCTCCCACAATGCAGGTGGATTCTTTACCAGCTGAGCCACAAGGGAAACTCAAGAATACTGTCCCTTCTCCAGCATATCTTCCTGACCCAGGAATTGAACCAGGGTCTCCTGCATTGCAAGTGGATCCTTTACGAACTGAGCTATCAGGGACACCCTGATGACCTACAGAAAGCGAAGTCGCTCAGTCGTGTCCAACTCTTTGTGACCCCGTGGACTGTAACTGGCCAGGCTTCTCTGTCCATGGGATTCTCCATGCAAGAATACTGGAATGGGTTGCCATTTCCTTCTCCAGGGCATCTTCCCAACCCAGGGACTGAATCCTGGTATCCTGCATTGCAGGCAGACGCTTTACCCTCTGAGCCACCAGAGAGATCTACTCTAATAGTCAATGCTTTGGATCTAGCTATTGGCAGTAGAAATTTTCAAAGTAAAAAATGTTCAGAGAGAATTAGGATAATGAGCTTTGACTTATTCAAAGTGAAAATTTGCTAGTGTTCTGATAAAACAGAGAATAGCAACTCAAAATAAAAGAGACTAGCCACTCAAAAATAATTTAATTCAAATCGCTAGATGCTTCTTTGAGATCAAGTCAGTCTCCACCCCATTCTCCTAATGTTGTTTACAACCCTATTATTCCAGTTACCCCCCAAAGGAAGAAAACATCTTAGGTTGAGAGCTGGGAGGCGTGTACCTCTATTGTTTTCTATATCACATACCCCTCAGTGTTCCTCTGATTTCGGTCACTACAGTGGGGAAGAGCTCCAGACAATAATCCCAGCAGCACCTTGCACTGGGAACTTCCCACATCAAGAGAGGCATCTTTCTGCATTCCACTTTCACAGCTTTCACTAAGGTAGTAGGCGTGTGCCTGACTAGTGTGCAGAAACAGTTGACCTGAAGCTGGGATGTGGGGGAGCGGGGGTGAGGAAGGGAGGATTAACGCCGCTGTGCCCCTGGGAGCCATCCTCAACCACTGGCTGGATGAGGAGAACTGATGGTTATCTACTCCAGACTCCAGACCTTTCAAGCAGAATATTCTCAATTCCCCAACATTGTCTGCTTCCTGGAAGCTCCAGGGAAATGGAGACCGTTGTCCAGAGCAGGAACTCAATGAGGCATGCTAGGTTACACTAACTTTACACACTTCCCTGTTCCATGTCTCTGTTTTTTTTCTCTAGTGTCCTGCATCTCTTCACAGATGAACTACCAGGACCCAAAGCCTTGTTTAGATTCTGATCTTAGGAAAGCAAAATTTATGGCAATTCTTTTAAAAAGAGAGAGAAAAAAAAATTTTTTTTTAATTATTTTGTCTACAAAAATACATCTCTTTCATCCACATGTACACATTGTTATACTTACAATGGATAACCAACAAGGACCTACTGTATAGCATGTGGAACTCTGCCCAGTGTTATGTGGCAGCCTGGATGGGAAGTGAGTTTGGGGCAGAATGAATACGTGTACAGTTCAGCTGCTCTTCTCTGCACTTGAAACTATCACAACATTGCAAATTGACTATACTCCAATATTAAATAAAAAGTTTAAAAAAAATACATAAATAAAGAAAAGAAACACTCTGGGAATTCCGTAGACTGTAAAACTATTTATCTTTCCATAGCCCAGTTGTCCACATCAAAGTTCCTTGGTTTGCATTCCTTTGGTCTTAAATTGTTTTTTCTTTTTGGACACAACCATCAACATCCTGCATCCTAGTTTGGTTGCAGGATGGTGATAATGCAACCCCTGATGCTCTGCCCCTCACCTCCCCTTAAGGTTACGTTGCAATGAACAAATTTGTGTGTGTGCATGCTCAGTCACTCAACAGTGTCTGACTCTTTTGTCAGACACCATGGACTATAGCCCACCAGTCCCCTCTGTCCATGGGCTTTCCCAGGCAAAAATATAGGAGTGGGTTGCCATTTCTTACTCCAGGGGATCTTCTTGATCTAGGGATCAAACCCACGTCTCCTGTATCTCCTGCATTGGCAGATGGATTCTCTTGCATCTTGTGCATCGGTAGGCAGATTGTTTACCACTGAGCCACCTGGGAAGCCAAGCAAAATGAGTCACCATATTTCTGGGATATGCTTTACGCTTGCTCAAGAGGTTACAGCTCTTGTATACTTTTCCCAAGTGGCCTGATCTCAGTCCCTATGGTTAGTTGTGTTTGTTGGCAATGAATCTAAAGATCTAAGTGTGGTCTGCCTTTAGAAAATACTGGACTGTGAGTCAGAGACCCTTGGTTTCTTTTTATGATTCTACTTATTACATTGAGTAACCTCCTACCCTCTCTGGGCAGTTTTTCCATCTGTAATGGAGCCACCCAACTATATGCCAGACTAAGAGTGACAGAGTTAGTTCTAGGAGCCTTTTAGAAGCTTAAATTAGAATTAAGCTAATTCCACTGCACCATCCTGTGTTTAAAATCAAAAGTATTTCTGTGAGTTGTGTTATTTTGATGTGGTTGGAAATATGCTTTGACTACAACAGAAGTAAGAGTGAGGTTTCATCCTTCTGTTTAATAGTTGAATTCTGATGCAGGGTGATTAAATTATTTATAACCGAGAGAAACAAAATCATTTAAAATATTGAATGACATATTACTTTTTTACATCATTTTCTAAACTTCATCCTGACCAAGTCCATATCATACTCCCTTCTAATAGCAAGGTTTCATTCGTTTGCATAAATCCATGGGTCAATCTACAAGACACTTTTGGGAAGTGGAGCTTGGCATTTAAGAGTATCCTGTTAGAACATACACACAAACCTCTCCCACACTAAAACTCTGTGTGTGAAAATATAGGTTGGGGAAGGGAGGAGATGAATGGAAGCAAGGAATTGTATGTGATGGAAAAGCTCCTTTCTTTCATTTTACTTTCAGCAAGGGAGTGTATGTGTGGAGGGTGGGGAGACATGGGTTCCATCCCTGGTGGCTGGGGGAGGAGTGGGTGGGGAGAGCCCATAGAGAAGGAAATGGCAACCCACTCCAGGATTTTTGCCTGGAGAATCCCATGGACAGAGGAGCCTGGTGGGCTACAGTCCAATGGGTGACAAGAGTCTGACATGACTTAATGATTGAGCACATTTTTCTAATAGAGATGGCATATAGTTCTGCAAATTCTCTTTAATGTTCGTTGATAAAAGATATGGCCCATTCATTTATCTTATCATCAAGCACTGTAACCAGATCAGTGACTATTTAATCTGCAACACTGAAGTAGGGGTGGATATGGGGGAGGAGTGGAAGTAATTTTATTTGGAAGGAGAGACAGGAGGCTCTGGAAAGCAGGCTCTGGTTTGCCAGAGAGCACTGATAAAGCTGTAGGTGCCAAGATGCAAGAACAAGGGAGAAGCAAAAAAGCTTGGGAATGAAGGTGGGATGGTACCAAAAAGAAAAACTGCTTAACAATCATGACTTTGCAATTTTCCCTGATGAACTCACAGTGATATGTCTAGGTTAGCACAAAGATGACAAAATTCCTCTCATCAGCTCATCCCAGTTTTCCCAGTAGAGTCTGGTCCCCGCCTAGAAAAAGAGAGAAAAAGGTTAATTTAAAAAGCTGTAAAAAACAAAAACTCTCTATATTACTACATACTCAAACACATACATGAATGTTTGAAGACATCCCCCCTGCATACTTAATTACCAGTATATTAAAAATATTAGGGTTCAAATCTTAAAATATTGATCCTTTATAATTATCATACAGTACATGAAGAATTGATTCTTGTGACATATCCCTCTCAGTTTCCGAACAGCTCCTTACTGTCTAGTTTGAGAGGCTATTTCAGGCTTATCTCATACTTCCCCTTCGTTAAAGTGCTCTGCATCTACCCCCGTATAATTCAGTGTGTGAGTATTGTTGGTGATGACGTGGGATAGAGGAGGTGTCCATCATCCTCCCCTTCGCTGACACTTTCCCAAAGCAGCAGCTGCCTATCACCAAGGGTCACAATGCAGAATTCTAGACACCCATAGTGCCTGCGTACATTTCTTTAGGACTCCATTATATTCCAAATTCCATTGGTTTTTGTAAATAATTTATTAAATGGATTTAAAAATAAACATATTCATATCCTCTTAGTATTGTGTAGTCTCTTACATCCTGGATCATATCCTTTCATATTTGAATCTCCAGATTTCGGTGTAACTTTCACTACTTGGTAGCTTCTTAATAAATATTTGATCAGAGGAAGGAAGGTCCATCTTATCAATATTATTAACAATTCAGATAGAGATATTAAATGCTATATTATGCATAAGGCCTATAGCCAATGCCTGGCAAATAGAAGATACACCATGAGAGTAACCAAAGTAAAAGCTGAGCTATTTCTGTTATCTGATGGTTCTGGCACATAAACAGCAGAAAATAATTATTTTGGTTTACTGCATTCTCAACATTCCCTTTGACAACATAATAAACAAGTAAAAGAAATTATGAAAATGTGCATTTGATGCTATTCTTGTTCAGCCTCAAATTTTGGACAGTTTTAAGAAAGCTATTTTAAAGGACAATGGTTAATTACTTTACAATATTGTAGTGGTTTTTGCCATACATTGACATGAATCAGCCATGGATTTAAAATGAAAAAAATAAAATAAAATAAAAAGTCAAAACTAAGTAGAATAACCAAAAGAATATACAGTATTGTAATAACTGCTGTCAAATAAATAAATAAATAAAAATTAAAAAAAGAGGAATGTGATACTCTTTAAAAAATAAATAAAGGACAATGGTAAATTGAGTTTTTTGAGCAAATCATTGTAAAGTAAGTGATTGTCCAGAAAGCATGTGTAAGAACTAATTTGAAACCACAAAACCAACAGATGAATCCTAAGTAGAAAGTACAAAATCTGAAAATAATGATTACCATGTTTACAATAAATCTATAACTGCCTGAACACTGCTGCAGTTTTATGCAAACCAAAAGAATCTATAAATAAATTAATTCCTAGACTAGTTTCAGAAAATAGTTATACTTCTAGCTGTAAGAATGAGTCAGTTTAGTATTATAATTGACTTTGATGGGAAACAGAGGGACAGATCAGTGAAGAAGCACATAGATTTAATAGTAGTGATAAGGTTATAGCTTTGCTGCTCACAGTGTGCATTCATGAGCCTTTTTGTTACGCTTTTCATAATGCTTTATATTTTTCATCTTTTGTAAATATTTCTTTATATTTATCAATGGCTGCATAATAAAATAGCATATAGTCAACATTTTGGAAACTATTAATCTAGCATATCAAGCTCTTGGTTACCTCATACGTTAAATGGGGGTAATACTTATAAAATTATCATTTCAATTAGATGAAATATGCAACAGAATGCTTGGTATATGTGTGCAACATATATAACCATTTATGCTAATCTTTATTCCAATTGTAAAATTGGTCTTTGAAAGTGCACTTTAGTTTTGGTAAGTTTCAAAAGATTATGTTTGAATATTGCATTTGAGTTCATCTTGAAATGTTTTAGATGTACAAGTACATTTTTGATGAAAGTGACCATGTCTTAACTGAACAGCTTTCTCTAAAGTGTAGAGAGAATATGAAACATGTGTCCTCCATCTAGTATTGCAAATGCTGTTTAATGTCTTTGTCTTGATGACTGCCTGTAAGCACTAGCCATAAAGCAATTAAGAATGGAATTTTAACAACCCACATAAAACATTTATTTGGAAATCCTGGGCATATGGTGAGTCACATTTAATTATTAATTGTTATTTATCTATACTACAACTAGACTGTCTAAATTACTTTCTTACAGGATGCAGGAAAAAACTTTTGTACATTAGTAAGTTCAACAGTTTCATTTTATTTCTGCTTATTTTCCTGAGACAAAAATCAAATATGTAATAGAGCATGCACATCAAGTCTTTTTCAATTATTCTGAAAAGCCTATAAGCTCACTCAAGAAAATATAGTTTTCTGTGTTTTTATCTAAAGTGTATACTCAGACCACCTTACTAAATTCTGGGCTACACACTCCCTAGCAATGCTGGGCTAACTACACTGCTGACCCCATCTTGCTCTGCAAAACCAAACCAACCAACATGGAAGATGGTGCATTGTTTAGAGCTGGGTTTTGAAGCTGAATTCAGAATCAGTTGAGAAATATCACTGGAGATGTGTTTGGATCTTTCCATTGAAGATTAAATTAATTCTTTCCATTATCCCATGGTATCACAAGTGAAAGCAGTGATGGTAACCAGAAGTACTATTATGTCCTTACCATGTTTCAGGCAGGGTGTCACTGGTGGCTCAGACAATAGAGAATCTGCCTTCAATGCAGGAGACCTGGTTTCAATCCCTGGGTCAGGAAGATCCCCTGGAGAAGGAAATGACAACCCATTCCAGTATTCTTGCCTGGAGAATTCCACGCACAGAGGAGCTGGGTGGGCCACAGTTCATGGGGTCGCAAAGAGTTGGACACAACTGACTGACTAACATTTTCACTTATTCTTTCATATTCCAGGCAAAATGTTCAGCACTTTACAAGCACATGTGACCTACTTCAAATCTCCTAAAAACCTCCATGAGGAAAGTTTGATTATCTTGAAGTGACTTATTCAAGCTATGACACTATTGAATTAACTAGGATACCAAACTTTTGATTCTTATCTATAACTTTTGAGGGTGATGGATATTTCTAACCTCTATACCACAGTAATTAGTGAACCAGTGAAGTTGCTCAGTTGTGTCCAAGTCTTTGTGATCACATGGACTGTAACCTACAAGGCTCTTCCATCCATGGAATTTTCCTGGTAGAGAACTAGACTGGGTAGCCATTTCCTTCTCCAGGGATCAAACCTAGGTCTCCCGCATTGCAGGCAGACACTTTACTGTCTGAGCCACCAGGGAAGCCCAAGGTAGTTCTTAAATGGTCACTGTATTAATTATTTTATGATTTATTTATCTACCAGCTGCAATCAATTGCCAAGCATTTCTCCTAGAATTACATTATCTAGTCTGGAAAGCATCTTTCACTGTCTTGAAGGAAGTCTTTGAGGCTCCATCTTAAGACCTCAAGGAAATAAGAGGAAGAAATAATGAATTAGTCATGATCTTATAAAACCTTTAATCTGTGGTTTTCCTGACAGGATCTTACATGATTTATAATTTATAGCTTTTCTCTGTGTTTCAGGTAGAAGAAAATAAAGAGGAAAGTGTTTTGAAACTGCTTTGCAAGTATTTTTGGTAAAAACCAAAAAATAAATAATTGCCAACTAACCAACTTATAAAAGAGGGAAAAAGTAAAGATTAGAGATTTTCTCATCCAAGCAGGCTAGGCCATGCACTAATTGAAGTGTTCAATGTCAAGTGTAATTTATTAACCACTTTTATTGATACTAGCCTTGAAGAAAAATATATAGACAAATTTAACAGCCTTTTTGCCCATTTCAAACATAAGAGACTTGTTTTTCTATCTTCTTACAAGCAGTGGACAATTGATTATTAAGTAAACCACCTACACTTTCAACTATTATTATTACCATAAATTTTTGCAGTAGTGAATTCTTACTGTTTGATTCATTTTCCATGAATACGGAGCCCTGAAGGGATATGGATTTAGGGCCACCTTGTGACGGATTTAGAAAAGTTCTGGAGGCTGAACCCTGGGGTCAGAAATTTTATTTCAATTACTAAATTGCTACCTTTCAACAAATATATTTTGCAAAGGGGTTCCATATGGCAATGGCTAATTTTTACTAATGAAAGAATGATTACCAGTGTTACACTAAGTTGACTTGTTTTTATGTCCCAGCCACTGCCATAAACATCTATATATTAATATAGTAAATCATTTTATGCTCACAAAAATCCTATGAACTAAATGCCATCATATCGCCATTTTACAGATGAGGCAGCTGATGTTTCACAGGAATAAATAATTTGTCTAAGTTCCTGCAGAGAGCAAGTGAGATCTTAGGAAGCCTCAAAATATTCTGGTTGAAGATATGAAAAAAAGCTGTTCTATGTGAAAGTGAAAAATGACATGAAGTAAATCAATGTATCACCGTTTAGGAACATTTTAAAGCTTCAAATTGTATGTTATTAGCATATTTTGGATTGGAGACTCTGTATATAAATGCACAAAATAACAGAAAAAGGCAATAATCCTGGAAGAAAACCAAAGAACTGATAATATTATGAACAAACTCAACAGTAGAGAAATTACAAAGCATAAATAATGACATACCTGGTACTTATTCCCCTATGATCTATTTTTGACCTTTCAGTCATGCTAAAAGATAATTTGTGTGTGTGTATGTGTGTGTGTGAAACTAAGGAGCACATATTTTTCAAGCTGAAATTAGTGCTAAATACTCGTGAATTCTATTTAGTGTGCTGGAATTTTCACTGAATTATGCGTCCTATATTTTTCTTTCAGGGATCACAGACAACATCCTCAAAAGCAGAAACGCTACTTTCTCCCTACGTTGTTTGAATTTCCTATCTCCAGTGTTGGCGTAGACATGGGGTTCCACAGCCCGATCCCCACTTCATGGAAGAACTTTGCT